ACAAATCCAAAGGTATTTCCAACTATTCAGCAATTTGCTTCAATGACATGAATTGGGTCCATTTTGTTAATCATGTACCTATTTTGCACGAATAATACACACGAAAAGTTTGTGCTTTTCAGTAGTAATGTTGGCTATTTGTCTGACATGAGCTGTGGTTATTGTTCACTTTATTGGAAGCAACATCTTGACACTGATGACACCTTGGATAGTGGATCTCAATATGAGAAAGGACCCAACATCAGTATCAAAAATAAATCTTAGTCACCATTAGACATTTTTTTAGCCCCTAGCGTGATTTTTCTTTCTTCACACTAACCAAGTTATTTTATTTATAAGTTAGATCAAATATGATAACTTTTAAATAATGAATGAGACATTAATAGTTTTCTCCTCCTTCTCTTTATTATAAATGCCTATAATAAGTATAAATAAGGCAGTAAAGTTATTAAAGCACGTTGATCAAAAAGGAAATGATCGACAAACATGTTGTTGAGCCTTGATGACTTAATGGAACTCTGATGTTGATTATGAGGAAAAGGGGTTATTAATCTGAACAGATATCACGAGCTTTACACAATCCTCCATCTAGTCCATATCCGCTCTAAAAAAATGTGGGTAGAAGTATAGCCTCTTATTCGTTTGGTTTTGCTCTAATACCTTTTGTGTTTTAATTTAAAGACGCCAAAAATATATAGAGAGAGAGCAAGGAACAATTATGATTATGTACGTGATCAAGAACATACATACAGATGAAACGACAGAAGCAGATTCAAGTATACAAAGAAAATCAAAACACATTTTAAGACATACCACAGCATCACAAGGTCATTACTGGCAGAGACGTCGGTGTGACAGCTTATACAAACGATGAGCGCACGAGATTAGAGCTTGTGGTGCATTTGATACAACACAGGCAAGATCATATTAACATCTCATCAGCACGGAGAGAGAGTAAAGGTAACTAAGCTGGTGTGTCAAGCATCATAGCACGACCAGGCCGGAAATATCAATTCTTCTGGCCACTAATTCACATGGCGTAGAATTCAAACAAGGCACTTGAAGAGATTCCCTTAGGTCCATTCTTAAGTAGCCCACCATGCTTTATTGAATACAGGTTTAGAGTATAACAGTAACGTCTATGAGTCTCCACCACCGCAGGTCAGTATACTATATCTTCTTTTATAATTAATATGAAATTGAATGCGCTGACATCCACTTCAAATCTCAACTTCTCGCTGTATTTCCTTAACTTCCTATCGCCAGACACAGACCTTCTAGAACATGCACTTCTATTTCATATATCACATCATTTAGTTGTTGCATATACTCTGGTTAGGTACTGCCCACTCTAGTGAAATCTCTTTGCCATTTTACCAAATAAAGCAGGTTATATGTTTAAGACCTCAAAAACTTCTGTTAAACTTTCTCATCTGAGCTCAAGTTCCATAATTACTGACTCCTTCTATATAATCTTATCGGTCAGAGGAATTGTGGACGTACTCAAAAAACCTTCAAGCACTGATCTTCCAGTTTCGAAAACTCCGAGTAAAGCAGGAAGGTTGACCAGCAAGGGCGTTTAACTTATACGCCGATGAAAAGAGACTGCTCACACAGTCTGGTCAATAACAGCTCTCTAATTTTATCGCTCTACAAGTCTTCCTATATGGAGTGTACCTAAACAAACTGCAAATCTTATACAACAAGGCTAGGTGTATGAAATCGGGTGACAATATCTTACTCTTTTGTGGCACATGGCCCAGGAAGTAAGCGGTCGTTTTGCATATTTTTTATGTCTATTCTAGGTTATAACCCGAGTCACAACGTTGACTTCCTCAGCGCTTGCAAGGAACCACCAAACATAAAAACCACGAAAGCCATTGCCGAACGTCTCATTATAGACCGTACCATGCCATTGCGGGCGTTGTCCATGTTCTCTAGAAAATTACAGATGGAAGAATTGTAAACATTTGACCCTAAGATAAGATTCGGCAGATTTCAATCGGATGCCAGTGCATTTAATTTGTGTTCCACCCTGCTCCTTATCACAAACGCTGTCTCCAACTTGAAGTGATGAAAGCTTTCAAGTACACACCACTGCATAATTCAACATTTACTCTCTACCCAGATTTCGTTCAGCTAGACGACAAGATCACATAAGGAGGAGCTTAAGGAATTAGCCTTTTAATTTAAATCGTCCACTACATCGTCTAGCCCTCGGTGCCGTCTCCACTCCTGAATCTACATCACTTGTTAATACTTCTATTCTTTGCGGCTGTGTTAACCTTCTTCAACGGTGGTTGACACCTACTGTTAAGTATATATCTAATTAATTCTCAACTGTATTATCACATGACACGTGCTGCCCAAATGAGTAATCAAAAAAGTTGCTCGTGTTGTTAATAATTGTGAGACGGCTCTATTTGTGCCTTGACCATCCCTAGAGGTCACGTATAACAGCATAGCACAGATATAGGCCCGACTTTTGGGATCGCTTACCAGTGTGTTTACAGTAAGATCACAGTTGGAGAGCTGACAATACAGGGAACAAAATCGATACACTGACTATGACCATATAACTGTTCAACAGATCCCAGTTGTCTACGCGGTTATTTAGTTTTATTCTATTGCTTGCTCAATGCTTCACGCCAGTGCAGTCTCTAGTTGCACAGCGACTCAAGCACACATCATGATTTAATAGAGGTTATCTTAACCTAGCGTTCTAGTGGATATCAGTGTGCTGACTGAGGGCGCCTTGGTTACACTGACATGATGATGAAATCGGGAATTGTGTTATGTGTCTGGGCTGAGTTGACGAGTATGTATACCAAATGACAGAACCATCCACACGTACGACGGCGTTCAGCTCCACTTCTGGGATTCTGCTTCTATTAATGAGTTATCTTATTTGCCTCACACAATACCTGGTTTGGCTTTTGTTTTTTCTCACTCATCGACATCAGGGAATTGTCGTAATTCATTTTGTCAGGCACATTGATTATATTATCTTGGTGAAAATTTAACAAAAAAAATTAAATTTGTGGGACAAACCCAATAAAAAGTTATCTTGGAGCGGCAAAATCAAAACAGCAGTCACTCGAGCGAACACTTCCTCTTACACGATTACGGGGTGGCCTCATGGCTATGAGAATTTCCACTCAACTGTAGCACTAAATCTCTTTTTTCAGAAAGGTGGATGCAGTCACAACAAGAGACCGTCCAGGATCTGCTTTGGATAAGGTGTTGGGTTGATCTTGAATCACAAGAAGCGATATAATTTGGTGTGAAATTTAAAAAGTATAGGAAACGTGGACACTGTCACGCTGTAAAACTGATTATAAGCGCTCCCTTCTTTCCCCCACATGTGGCTAGTAAATCATTATAGTATCATTTACCTTCGCCACTGTGGGCATTGGCTACCTACTAACTGACATTAGCTTTTAAATGCTAATTTTCACGCATCTCCCATCGTTTTAGTAAAAATATTAATTAAAATTTTTGGATCAGAGACTTTCATGTATGGGGGTTAAATTATTAACGTTAATATTCCCCAACCCCCCACTACCTTTTGGCCACCGCTAGAGATTAAATGTTTACGAGTAAAATCTTGAATAAATATGAAAGGAAGATAATATAAACGAGAAAAGACTTGCCCGACCTTTTTTACATTATTTGTTGGTTTTCCCACCTCCGTGACGGAACCAAGTCATTGGCATATAATCGATTCGCGGTTTAGGAGAGTACATATACAGAGAAAAGAGCAGTATAAGTTTTGGAGAATTTAAGTAATTATTTTATTATTTTAAGATTCTTGACCACTCAAAACACATACTGTTTATTATTAAAAAAATTTACTGGAGTGCCCATAGGTGCCTTAGCTGTTAATTACAATACCAGATGGCGGAGTGCTGATTAATATTTTGACTGGCCTGCGGAGTAGAAGGGTGGCACACATTGCACGTGACAGTATGAAGTAGGGCAATATCAGAGACTTTAAATGAGAAGGACTTTGGTAATAATCAGGGGAAAATATCTCTTCATTTCCAAATGTCCTGCACAGAATGTTTTGAGTGCAGAGTACAAGAAAACTGAAGGAAAGGAAAGTGAGAAAGATTTATTTTCACTTTCTCACAGGATGAAATATAAAGCACATGTATGTGTTAAAAAGATTAATAATAAATAAAATATATAATAAAAAACATCTCATGAGACTTTTGAAATATATTTAAGCTTTTATCCTTGGAAATGTTGTATTTAAATTAAAATACATTTGCTATTCACATCCTAAATACCAAGCCTGCCATCTGCACAGTTTATTGTTTTTTTTATTTATATTTATAAGTTACTGTTTATGACTCTCACCATGGTTTGCTAAAGCCCCAAAGCCTTAGGAACGACTTTATAACCATTTCCAGACTGATAAATGCCAGTTTCTCATTTGTTCTGGAGTTTCTTTGGATTTTGGCACGATGTGCTGCTTTTTGAAATCTTTTATTTTGTTTTACTTTGTCAGACAAGGCCAGGTAGTTTTTTTAACCCCCTTAACAAATGACAAAAACAATTGAAAAACGCAATTTTTTTTGTTTTCCTGGGTTATCTTTGTCTAATATTAAAACGTGTTTGACGATCTGAAACACGAAAGTCTGACAAATATGCAAAATAAATAATAATAAATAAATAAAATAAATTAACATAAGAAAGTAGAAAGGAGATAAATACTTTTTCCACAGCAGTGAATATTATAGATACTTTGAAGGATGCAATAATATCCTATATTCTTAGTTATTACTGGATCTATTTATGAATTAGTTTATTCATTTACCGCTTATGTAGAAATAGCAAGGATTGTTGGGTCAAACCTTATTAAAAAAGTCAGTAATGAACTTTCATGAGTAGTTATATAGTTGTTATATAGTTGTCATATTCCTGCCTTGCGCGCTATTTTGTGAATTACATTTCAATACGTCCTCAGCAATGGGGCACATGCGCACTGGCCGGTGGATCCCTCTCTGACCACGACAGACGATCTTCGGAGTTGTGTGTGTGTGTGTAGTGTGTGCGCTCCACTCCCGCTGGCTGCTATGACCTAGCTACCGGACGACACTTTCCGTTTTTCCACGCTGACCCTTCCGCCTCAAACTGCAGTCCCCACACTCAACGTTACGGTCGTTTATGGTCGCATTACCGCCACTTTTTCATCGTAGCTGCTGGCCTCCGGGGCTAGCTGGCTAGCAGAGAGGGGGTGACGGAGTGGAGACAGCTGGTCGGACTGAGAAACGGCAGCGTTAGCAAACAAGCTAATTAGCGAGAAAGACTCAGCCTGGATTATTGCCTTTAATCAAAAGAGAGCATAGGTCTGCGGCTTCACCCACTGCAGCAAAAATGAAGATAACTGTGGATTTCGAGGAGTGTTTGAAGGACTCCCCAAGGTTCAGGTGAGTGATGACAGCCAGGCTTTTTTATTGTCCCGTCCGCTGCTTTTTTATTTATTTATCTCAGGAGTAAAAGTATACAGCTAGCCGCCTGCTAAACCCTCACGCCAATCAGCAGTAAGTAGCTAGCTGTTCATCGCCTGCTACTTTTCTATTTTTGTCCCTAAGAGAGCTGGGGCCAGCCTGGGAGGCTGCTGCTGGGACGAGGAAACCAAACAGACTCGCTGAGAGTCGTGGTGCAGTGGAAAGCTGCTCCAGCGCCTGTTTCCCCCCCCCAATATAAATTATGTAAACATAGTAAAATACATTAAATATGAACGCAGAGAATAGAGTCTGTCCCAGGATCCTTGACTGGCATGACCCTGCTTAATAGTGTATTTTTTCATGACAGCCAGCTTTGTGTTTACTGTGCGCAGTAATTCACTTTTCTGTTTGATCACACTTATATTTCTAATTAGACCCAATGTCTATTTTCACTGTCCGCTCATTATCTTGCTTTTAAAGTAACCTGACACATTCATGATCGTTTCCATATAAAGACATATTAGTAGCGCAAGCAGTAAGCTTCTTTCCTCCTTCAGTTACGAGCTGATCAGTGAAAAAAAGACAAATCACTGGTGACTTTAAAAATAGTGTTACCGTCCATGTGACGTGTTCTCTGTGTGGTCACTTCTGAAATCACCCCCCCCCCCACACACACACACACACACTTCTTCTGAAATTTGTGTAAAAATGGCTCTCACCTCCCTCCTCTAACAGTGGCCTTGAACTGTCCAGTGTTTTGAGAAAGCATCTTCCCCTCTTCCTCCCTCTTCCTCCCTGCACAGCCCCTCGCGCTCCCTTGCTGCTGCTGCAACATCCTCTCTCACAAAAACGAGGAACAGATGTTCGAAAGTTGTTGTTGCAGTTGTTGTTTTTCTGAGACTGAGCATTTCCTTTAGGATTGTATTCATAGGGCTGAACAAAGGGGAAATGTCCCAGTCGGCCGTTGTTGCCTGGTTTAAGGCTGTGTGACCACGATTGCTCCCTTTTACTCACTGTTTTAAATTGGACACATTATTACTATTAAAGCGCTCTAACTGGTGTGCTGCTTAGTGTGTCAGCTCATTGGTATTTGAGGTGTTCGAGGTGCTGCATGCTGCCACAGGCTTTGAAGCCCTCACCTCTTTGCGTCATCACACTTACGTTTGCTTTCATTGATTGTGGATAACAGAGCGCTGAGTCACTGCATACAGTTTGAAGTTTTCTATGTCAGCGAGGCAGTTTTTCAAACAAAGAAAGGAAACTGTTCAGTGGGAGTGCAGAGGCTTTGTTTGCGATGTATATCCAGCAGAATCTGAAATACTGAAAGTCACTCATTTGTATACAAGACTTGCCTGACTGTTCTTATTTATGTTAGTAAATAACAGTCATCATCATGCGCCAGGTCCGAGCATCTTTTAAGGTAATTCATTGCAAGGCTGCAGCAGTATAAAAAGGCTTGGCACTTATTTTTCTTAATTAGAGCTTTGTTTTTCCCGGCACTGAGGCGGTGTGTGATTGACCTTTCTCTGACCTGTAACTTTGCTGCAGCACCTGTTACAGCACCTAAATGACACCATTACCTTGTCCTTGCTTTATTCCAAAAACAAATGCACAAAAGATGTGGAAAGTGGTAATCTGTTGATCAGTTAGATGATGTTTGATGAATATATACTCGTTTGGGGTCACCTTGGGCTTTAAAAGGTGCTCTTTTTCTGACTTCTGGAGACCAAAGAATCTGTTGATTAATCCTGTAAAACATTAACCTAAAGTCAAAATGAATCATTAGACTTTACAGTAGTTCTCGTTCTGTTTGTTTAAATGTAACTAACTCTGCTTCTCTGCCTGTCCCTATCAAAAGTATAAAAGTTATCACTTTTATTGAGGGAATTCTTGGAGGGGTTTGGATGCAGCAGGCAAAGTACTAGGCCTAGTTTGTGACAAATAAACAACAAGCAGTGAGTTTCTCCTCCAGGACTACTGAACTTGCCATCGGTTGCACTGAACTTGCCGGTGCCACCGATGTCGCTGCTGTTTGACCAGAGTACATGTAATCTTGCACCACTGAAGGACATCATGGATAGAACCTGTAGGAACGTAACTTAGTGCTTAACTCAATGATTTCACTATAGTACTTTTTCTCGTAGTAGTTTTCTAGCAGGTTTTTTTCTCCAGTTATTTCTATGTTATGCTGCTTGGTGCTTCTACTGTTCTACATGTTGGATGCCAGCTTTATAATCCACACTAAAACCAAAGCATTGCATTACTATGGATCAAACTATGAAATATAATAAGTCAACAGCTGCAACATTAAAGTCATAATGATTTGGACAAGTGCCATTCTAAATGGTAAACACATTTAGTTTGGGTCAACACCTGGATTTTACTTAGCAAAGTGTAAGAGCCTTACATTGGTCTAGGATACTGTTACTTTTGGTCTAGGTGTGGGATCAGCATCATCATGTACCACCCAAATATTGAGGTCAGTTGAATAGCTGAATATATTGAGTGACCAGTTTTTTTCTTCCCTGGTGGAAATGGTACATTGACACACTCAGGCATTTGACATTGCATAAGCACACCAAATGCTGAAGGTGATCCAATGAAATATTAGAGATTGTGGGGGGTTGTTTTTGGTCAGGGCAGTGTGTTTTGATATTACAGCCTGTGCACTGTTAAGCTGCTTAAGCAGGATTCTAACTTTTACTTAAGTAAAAAGCCAGCATACTTTTTTTCCACTTTGCAAAACAATCAAACAAACAAACAATTATCAAATATAAAGTTACGTTTAAACTTTCGTGCAGCACCACTTTCAGTTGGACAATTTCTATCCCAATTTGTTTTACACTGATTGTATTTCTCATCAAATATTCTGATTTCCTTTCGGCACCTCTATTTTGTTCTTAGCCCGCTCTGTCCCACCCTGGTTTATAAACTTATGGAAACGCCCATGCATCCAGCTGACAGTGGATCTCCAGAGCTGAGCTGCAGCTCAGACTGGCGGGGCTGGAGGTTGTGGGATGAGAGACTTGCAGTAGAAAAAGCTGAATCATATTGAGGGCCGCCACGGCAACCTGGCCCGTGAGTCAGCTGGTAACATGAGACAGGAATGGTCGGTGTTAGTTGGCTAGCAGCAACTGAACTTTCAGAATGAGAGCAAGAGGATTGTTTTTAAATGTGTTACCAAATGTATGTGATGAGGTAAAATCTATGAGTAGGAAACACCACTGTATGGGCAGATGTGATACAACACATAGAACTCGACAAAGGTTGTCGTTACTTTTTGTCAAAAAACTCCAGTTTGTGTTTTATTCTGTTAATCTAATTCACATCCACTTCCCATGATTGTCTGAGCAAGGTAACAATATAGCCCTGTCTCTGTTTGTGCTTTTTTGTGACCTTTGCCCCCCTTTTGGATGAGTCATCAGTTAGCATTTCCTGACTTAAACACTGCTGTAGGTTCATCATTGCTCCATAGTTATTAGAGATTACTGCACCATAGTTTTCCACTTCGACCACCGCAGCTCTGCTGCCGTTTATCCAACCCCCCTCTCGTTGTGTTTGGCCAGGGAAGACGACGACGACGCAGGAGACACAGAGTATGGATAAAAACATGTAATACGCACCAGCGTGAATTAGCTCTCACTTGCTCAACATCTGTTTCCAGTTTGGTGTTCGCTTTCAACTTGGTGCGGGAGAATATGGAGCCCCCAAATGTAGAGAGGGTTGTTTTTAAGTGGTATTTTGGCACACCCCACTAACCTTTTTTGTTTTTTTTCATCCTCATTTTTGTTGGAGAAACTGTCTTTGGTTGTAAACCATGTGTTCGGGCTGCATGAGAGGTTCACTAGTGCAAAAAAGTTATGTATTTTTGGCAGTAAACCCTAGTAGCCTAGTTTTCCACTTGAGAATAGATGTTGGACTCGAGAGCTTCCTGGCTCCTCTTCAAGTATGATAGTTAAAAATTCCCTCCAGAGTGCAGCAGCTTTTCTCTCCACAAGTATAGGAACAGATGTTTTACATATTTTATATGCTGTTCCACTCTGCAATGTCCCCAACAAAAGCAATTATCTGTAGTGTCTTTTTATATGAAATAAGCAATGTGGGGGTAGCTTAAGGACCTCGAAAGTTATGGATACTATAGGCTCCATTTATTAAACTGATCATAACATCTGTAAAACTGAAATGTTTCCAGTTTTTTTACATAGGACACACAAGAAATTATCCCATCAAGAAAATTATAGTATGATGGAAATGTTTTCAGACTAGTTGTCGAGGTGAGGTAATTTCTGTAAGTGGCAGAAAAGTTCTCCTTGTTGTTGCGTCCCTTTTAATCATTATTACGCGAGTACGTGCTTCTGATTGGGTGTGTGACCATGCAGTGCGATACATCCTGATTAGCTTCCCATGGGAGTCCACCTGTGGGCTTGTTATCTGGGCTATTTGCAGTTTGATTTAATTAAGCTCTGGTCCATTTCCTTTTAATGGTTATTAAGCCAATTAAAATGAATGAAATGTGAGGACTGAGGCTGCTCTTTATATCACATAAATACCCATGTAAATACTTTAACTTTCAAGTATACAATTATTTTATCAGAGAGGATGAAGCAGAGAGAAACTGTTGTTAATTTTTTCTAATTAAGAAAATTTATCTCTCTAAAAACGCTTTTTCAAAACCTCAGATTTTGTGGATTTTACACATTGCCGTCGGTATATAATTATTAACTCTGGATTTTTTTATGAGGCAGGCTTTTCCCTGTCTATAAGTGATTGATCTGTTAAATGAGAGAATATTGTGTAAGTCATTAAGAAAATACTTTTGTTGTAATTATTATTGATAGCTCTCCAAATACATAATATTGTTGAACAATGATTGTTGATGATATCGTTTTCCCCTCGTCTACAGCAAATACAGTTAAGCCTGTAACTTTGTGGACATGGGCACAATTTTTGTAGTGTTGCCATCTTTACATCATTAAAGT